CAGGGCCAGAGTCTTGGCACTATAACAAGTTAAATAAGAGGAAGTGGTTTGAGCTTAGCGGGAACCATTAAGTACAAATAATTTCTTTTTGTCATCAGACTGGTCACTAAAGACTTTATGCGCCCATACAAGCCACTGCTTATTGATTATGGTAGCTATAGAAGGTTGTGCAGTTAATTGAGGGATACATTGTTTTAGATAAAGATTATTAAAGATCAGACTGTGATAATGGCAGAAACCATCACTTGTCCTTAAGCAGTTAAATCTCATGGCAGCTGGTTTTCATTCCTGCCAGGGTCATGTCTTTCATCCTTATGAAGTCAATAATATAAATATACTTCTATTGTGTACCATTGGATCGTCCATCTATTGAGTTCTTCATGCCGTATTACAGGAACATTAGGGGGCAATATATGAAAAAAAGTGTCACAAATCAATTAGAAACTAATCTTTCTGCAAACATCTTCAGTAGAAAATCAAAGGGAAGAAAAACAAAACAGTTGTGAATAAGACGTACCATTTCTGCCCCCCCCCCCCCTTTTTTTTTTTATCCTCCACAGACTGCAGATAGATTCTGAGAGAATGCCAAGTACATGTGCGAGTGTATGCCATTTCTCTGCTCGATGCCCAAGTGCGCTCTCCAGATGCAAAACGCAGTAGCTAGCACACTTGCCTCAACACTTTATTCTCCCCAGTATAAATAAAATAATTAACTTAGACAAAGGAACGGTCACTTCTCTGTAAAGGCCAGCTCCTTTTAAACAATTGAGAACTGGAAGGATATGTTTAAATGGACACTATAGTCACCAGAACAACTACAGCTTAATGTACAGTATACAGCTTAATGTAGTTGTTCTGGTGAGCATAACGGCTCCCTTCAGGCATTTTCATGTAAACACTGTCTTAGATGGCCACTGGAGGTGCTTCCTGGGTCAGTGCTGCACAGAAAGCAGCCCTGACGTTCAGCGTCCCCACGCTCTGCATGGAGACACTGAATTTTCCTCATAGAGATGCATTGATTCATTAAGCATTATGGGAGGTCTTCCTTGGAATCTGGAGATAATGGGACCCCCATGTGCAACC